ATAATATTACAAAAATAAATAAAAATTTAAAAAATTTTTTTTTTTTTTTTTTTAATTTATATAAATTAGAAAATTTTGATATTATAAAACAAAACTTTTTAACAAATAATACGAATTCAGAAACAAATAGCAATAATAAAAAAAAAATTATAGTAAGAAAAATATAAGCAAAAAATAATGATAAATAAAATCGAAAAACAATAATATTACAAAAATAAATAAAAATTTAAAAAATTTAATTTATTTGAGTTTTATTTATTATTTTACTCACATATTGTATATTCATATTTTTAGATCTCTCCCATTGCTGGGTATCATAGCCATTCCGTCGCATCTCTCTACTCTACGTTGGCACTGGTCTAAATGAAGATGCCGCCTTCCAGCTGCACATCATCCAAAGCCGGCAACTCCCAGCCCAGCTCAACAGTCACGCTTGCTTGTCAAACACTCGCGACACTGTCCTGCCCCTTTGCCAGTTCGCCGCGCAGGCTCCGTGGCATGCATCGGGTCTCTGTGCGCTTGGTGAAATGCATTTGCATATTTGTATCCTTATGCCTGCCAGTTAACCCGCACCGCCTGTCCCGCTGGCGCCGCCTCCATGCGCGCCCCCTCCGCGTCGCCTAACTACTTTTCCTGTCTCCCCCATTTACAGGCAAGCGGCGCGGCTTTTAACGACAAAGTGTGAAATTTCATTGAATTTGAGCTCGTTGACAAAAGTGGAATGGCAACAGCAACAGCAACAACAACAACCATTGCTGTGGTGCAGGTGTTGTTGCTGTTGCTTTTGAAAATTAATTTAAATTATARTTTTTGTTATCGTCGCATGCTTTTTAAGCGCATATTAGCCGAGGAGCAGTGGGAGCAAATGCGAACAGCGAAATGCTAGTGGGGTGATTGGAGTAGATTGGATGTGGAGAGGCCATGGAGCATGGGGAATATTTTTCTGTGGAAGCAGCTAATTTTGTGGAAAATGATAGCCGCAATTAATATGCCGTCAACATCGTTGTCCTTGTGCATTATAATTTTATGCAAATTTGTCGCATGCTGAAATTGGAGTAGACGAGTGGACGTAGCTGGCAGGAGGCGGCGGGCGGATGCAATTTTTGCTACTGTTTGGCATAAGTGGTGTCATGTGTAATTGACAATGAATGAGAACTGACACATGTTGTAAATTGGCAGCGGGGAATTGAGATGGAATGTTGAACAGAGCTCCAGCCAATTATTCACATGCGCAACGTGATAGTGTCCGGGCCAGTGGCGAATGTGTTCCATCAAGGCAGCAGCTCATCCTTAAATTTCATTTCATGTTTTCAACTCAATATGCTTTCGGTTCAACAGTCAACAGTACAAAAATGTCGAGCAAACACTTTAAGAAAACTTCTGTAGCCTATGAGGAGCAGCTGAATCAACTCATCTTACAGCTCAAGGCGCAGCAGCTGAGCAGCAAACCAAAGAAGCCGACGATCGATGAGCACTACAAGCGCTTGCACACCGACTACAATACTGTCACCGGACGGAAACTGGACGGAAAAAGGGACGGCAACAAATCCATACTAAAGTTCTCGCCATGTCGCCCCAGTCGACAGTGCGTAGAGGATCAGGAAAAGCACAGCGAGAAGGAGAACTCCAAAGCTGTGAACGAAAAGCTGAAAAACTTTAAGTTTGATTTTCCCGTGGCGAGTGAAATAAAAAAGTGCGAGATTATTTCAGTAAAACTAGACTTCACGAAGGGACGCAGTCGAGAGAAGGTTGAAGTGGAAGCTTTCAAAAAGGAGGAATCAAAGAAGCAAAATAAACATCCAGTGCCACAATATCAACTGGATCATATGTACTTCGTGCTGGACACCAATGTGCTCATGGATAGTCTACGGCTGCTGGATGACGTCTCCAAGCTAACGCTGCGCGACACTGCGGGCAGCATACTCTATATACCCTACATGGTCATCAAGGAACTGGACTCGCTCAAGTACAAGCAGATGACGAGCTATGCGGCCAGACGTGCCATAAATTACCTGAATGACAAGTTCGACGATCTCGAGCCCATCGAGGCACAGTCGGCGCTCGAGGACGCCGATCAGCTCATCGATGTAGACAGTGGAGACGACAGCATACTCAACTGTTGCCTGCAGCTGAAGGAGCAGCTCGACCACATGATTTTGCTGACCAATGACAATAATCTGCGACTCAAGGCTCTGGCCTCCTCCATACGCGTCTCGACATGCTACCAGCTGATCAGCCACAGGAGCAACTGGTGGAGCCAGCCCAGGGAGCGGCGCACGCACAGGCGCCACAAATACAGAGTTGGATTTTAGGTTTTAGTTAGTTCTCATTTCGTTTATTCAGTTTTGTGTTTATATTTGTCTTAAATTCATTTGTTTCAATTTTCGTGTGTTCTCTGTTAAAGCAACGCGAAAGGAAATTCGGCAAGTGTGTGTCCTTTAATTACAACGGCCATTGGGTGAGCAATATCAATGCATAAAACCATCTCAACTTTTGGCCGAAATGACTGCAAGAGCAGCAGCAGCAGCAGCAGCAGCAGGAGGAGGCGGAGTAGGGGCTTACACACACAACAGCAGGACGAACATATCCCACTGACAATATATCTACGACCAACTTTCGCTCGCTAACGAACTTTTTCTATAAATCAAAATAATAACTTCTAAGCTGTGTGTGTAGGGGGTTGATGAGGAGAGGGGAGCGATCGGGAGGTTGTTGGGGTTACATGGCTTTTCCACATGGCGCTCTACATCGAGTCTACGCATTGGGAACGTACACTTCCCGTTATTTTCTGCATTCTGGTGTCTTTTTGGGTTGTCATCAACAAATGYTGCAGCACGCAGAGATGAAAGCAGCGAGGCTTGGCCGGAAAGGCGCAACCACAAAAGATGGAAGCAGAGAGGAGAGCAGAGAGCAGAGGAGAGAAGAGCAGAACGACACTCACTTACGCAGAGCATGCGATAAATTTAATAAATTACAAACCAAATCCGCAAATTTGTTGAATTTCCAGAAATAAAAAGGCAGAAAGGACGCCAAATGACTGTGGGGCCAGGGGCGTGCCTGCTGCCTCCTGCCTGGTGACTAAGGCGCCAAATGGCAGTGGCGACATTTGCACGGCATTTGGGGAACATGTGAGACAGCAGCTGCTGCACGTGCGTGTGTGTGTGTGTGCGAGAGAGAGAGGTAGAGTTGGGCGTGATGAGAGGAATGTTTGCATTTTGCGGGCAAAAGTTTTACTGTAAATTGCTTTTAATCTAATGAACACCGCTAGAGCATCCGCTCGAGAGGCGTGAGCCGAGCCGAGCCCAGCCGAGCCACTACGACAAACGACCCCTGACGTTAGAGTCATTTTTCCTCGGCGGTTTCATTAGAAAATTACTTAAGCTGAAGGCGCACGTATTTACTTACTATGTGAGCGCCGGGCTGCCGTCGGTTTGAGGTCCGGCAAAGGGTTATCTATTTTGGCTAAATAGCCGAGCTGGAGCCAAGCTGCATCCAGGCTGAAGCTGAGCTGCAGCCAGGCTGAAGCTGAGCTGCAGCCTCAAGCCCAAGTAAATAATTATTTGGTTTTTCTCTCTCAATTTTCTTTCGATTGGAAAACAAATAATTTAACGCAAAGCCTTACACATTGACTGCCTTCTCCGTGGTGACGGCCGCCATTTGGGCCCGCACATCCTGGCGAAGCTTCTGCAGAATCCACTCGCGGCTCGTGCAGGGCATATTGGGATTGTTCTCATAGTTCATCGGCTGGTTCTCAAAGACGTCGTGCAGCTCGTGGCAGTCCGTATTGGAGACGTTGCGCCAGCCCATGTCGGTGATGTGATAGAGCCGCACAATGCCGCCCGAGTAGGCGTCCTTCCTGGTGGCGTGATAGATGGCGCGACGTGCCAGGTCGTAGGCCTCCTCATTGCTCAGATCCCAACGATAGCCGGTGTCTAGCACGCCCAGGGCGTACGGCGAGCCGCTGCCCACGGAAAAGACACTGCCGTGCGATCGCATGCCCTCCGAGTCCACGTAGATGAGCTTGCTGCCCTCGTCGTCGCAGCCGGCCAGGATCATGCCCATGACSAGGCCCATGCCCTTGTACTCCGCACAGATGTTGCACATCATGCGCGCCGCCGCGTCCACCGAGATGCGGCGCTTGTAGCGCAGCTCGTGCAGCCGGCACTCGCGGGCCAGCACGCGGTCCCAGTACACGCAGTCCGCAGCGCCGCCGGCCAGGGTGCCAAGCATATAATTATTCAGCTCCACGATCTTCTTCATGGTCTGCGAGCCAATGTACTCGCCGGAAGTGGCCCGCGAGTCGGCGCACAGCACCACGCCCCCCTGATACTTGAAGCCCAACGTCGTCGTGCCATGATCGAACTCCATGCGCACCTTGCAGTGCTCCAGAATTTTTGGCAGATTAACAGCTGGCTGAGGGCGAGATGAGGGACGGTCAATGGTTAATTAATAATTTACTGTAGCTCATAATAAGGGTTCACTTCAATACATTTTCAAAGGGCGGGGCCATTAATGAATAGGGATTGGTAAAGTTGCTGGTGGCTATTTGAATCTGCTGCAGATCCCAGTTCTTTTGCACCTCATCGAACTTGTTCATGAAGGGCAGCTTGTTCACGCCCGATATCGCCTCTAAGGCCATGTCTAATGTGGAAGAGCGAACAGCTAATTTCGAGAAATTTTAAAAGAGCCAAATACTAAATCTGAAACGAGTTTAGAATAATACATATTGATGTTTAAATCATAGTAAATAGCTTAGACATTGCTCAATTATAATATAACAAGAGAAATCTGAAAATGAGTTAAGTAAAATATAGAAAATGACAAAAAATTGCAATTCGGAAAAATTCAGAAAATAAATATTGATGTTTAAATTATAGTGAATAAGTTTCCCATTAAAATTAAATCAGCTTTTAAGAAAAGTATGAAAAATTGTAAAAGAGTCAAACTATAAATTATTAAAAAATAAATATTACTATTAAGTATATGCCGCAATTGGTTATAGCGACTTTTCCCAATTAGAAAATTGAAAAATCGTAATGTAAATACTAAAAACCAATTTTGTGAAATTTTCACAGCAGCCCAATTTGCAATCTGAGCAAATAAATTTTAATTTTAAAGTCATGTTGAAATAGGAAACAGCAATTTCCCAATTGGAAGACGTTATGCTAATAGAAGTAAACAGCCAATTTTGCAAAATTGCAAAAATAGAGAAATTCTCAATAAAAGTAGAAGTTAAAATCATGGTGAAGAGAGTCGTTTCCCAATTAGAATAACGCAGGCTAATAAGAAAATTCATTTCGCTTATAAATTTACTTGTTTATTGAATTTAAGCAAGCACTACATTCATGCTCTGGTGTGCATCTGTGCAATTTTCAGTGGAAGCAGCAGCTAATTTGCCGTCTTAGCCCAAATCTCGCACTTCACTTGGCGTCATCTTGGCCTTGGCTCAGAGTCGCTCTTATTAAAACAGGTTGGGCTAAGCTCCAATTAATTGCCAAGTCGCTAGAAGGAAAGGCTGAAAATAAGAATGAGAATAAAGCAGGAGGCGGAGGAGGAGGAGCAACATTGAAGCTGCTGCCCTCTAATAAACTGGCAGCGGAAATTTTTAACAAGTTGCCGTTTGCCAGTTCCCGCCTGGCCAGAGCTGTAATTAACGCACACACACACACACGCACATACATTCGCTAAAGAGATGGAGCTGGATCCCTTGCTTGTAACTTGCGACTTTAATGCAGCTCTGAGCTAAACTAGTCGGGATTTTGCATATCAGATTGCCACTGCTTGCTGCCAGCTGCCAGCTTCCAGCTTCCAGCTTCCAGTTCTCCTTGTGATTTAATAATCAGCCAAAGTGCCAACTAGCAACAACTGCTGCGACTCCTGCTACTGCTACTGCTAGTACGACTCMTGCTGTTGCTGCAGCTCCTGTTCCAGCCAAATGAATGGCTTGGCACTGTTGCATGGCCATTAAGAGGGCAAACGAACTGCGAACTGGAGGCGCGTGCAAAATGAAATGTGGCCAACGTGCAACACACGCAGCCCCCAGAGAGCAGACGACACGCTCTCATACGCAGTCATTGTGGACATTGGTGGACACAGGTTGCAGCTGCCAATTTGCATAAATTTAGATCAGTGACAATTGACGTCCGCATACAGAGCAGCAATATGTTGTCTCCCTCTTTCTGCCCCTGCCCTTGTCCTTGTCTCTGTCCCTCTCACTTTCTCTTACGGTCCTCTCACTAAATGCCACCAAACATTTGCAATTGTCGTTTAATTAGAAACCAAATCGTTTGCTCTGCTTTTCAGGTAATTTGAATGCTACTCTCCCTATCTCCCATCTCCCTCTGCCTCTCTCGCTCTTTTATACTCTACACAGGTGTTGTTACCACCGGCTGTCCAATTAAAATGTCATGTTTCTTCACGATGGCGCCAAACGTCTCTGACGGCAGCACATGATTCAGCTCCCGGTGGGCGTTGTGTGGTCATTGAAGCTGTCTCTGCTGCGCAGCACCTGGCTTAATTAGAGGTAATCGTGTCTATGACCTAGAGTCTAGCATTTGCAATTAGTGAGCGCTTCTGCATATGATAAGTACTTCGTTTGGATACACCAAATCTTTCCCTCTTAAGTAGCTTTGTCAACCTGTCTTTCAATCAGGGCCAACAACAAGCCATCGCCAAGTGCCATAAACACCTTCTAGTAGATCGGTAACAACACCGATAATGGGTTCGCAACGATACTATCAATGATTGCAATGTATAGTAAATTTAACAGCTCTCAGCAGTGTTACCAGTTTAGCCTATTTCAGGCTAGATGTAGCCTCTTCAAAAGTGGTCCAGCTTATAAATTTAGCGTATTTGTCATTTTATTTAGCACAGATCTTCTAAAAATGCATTAGAGGAATACAGTTTATGCGAATCTTAAAACTTCGTTTACTTGAGATCATCGTTGTCAGGACTTCCCATAAGGTATTGCTTTTTATTAAAGAAAAAAACTACATAATTTTATACATTTTTCTTTAAAAATATCTCATAAAATCGCATGCTTTGCAAATAAATAAATTATTATGAATTATTTCTAATTAGGAAGATAAAATCATACCTATTCATGTGAGACAAATATAAGCAATGAAAATTTATCAGTTTTATATTAACCAAAAAGATGTTTGATATTTAAGCTCCACTAGTTTATATGCACATATATTATTATTTTTGTTTTTTTTTTTTTTTTAATTACTATATATATAAAATTTATATGTTTACTACTTATTTAAATCTGCAATCCTTATTTAACATGCAAGCGTTGCTTCAAGTTTCAGATCTGATTGGATTACCATATCTTAGGAGGGCATTTATATATTAAGACGAAATGTCTTCAAGCGTGTGTTACTACTCATGTTGTAGCTGCAGATGTTCATCTGGTTGCATTCACACGAAGCCTTGCAGGGTATTAGACGCACTTGGGGCAAAAGTGTGGGCTGTAAATGTTATTTATTTTAATTTCATTTTATTTAACTTTGCTTTCAGTTGGCTTTATTTACACGGCTGCTTAAAATTATTGTTTCAAAATCTGACAAATCCTTTGTTTTACTGCTTATTGGCAGTAAAAGTTTCGTGGCACAACTTTTAAGCTTGCCTAAGGCGGCGGCAGAGCAAGAGATTTGGCTGCCAGAGCGTGTTTGGGACAGCTTCCATCATACACAGAAGTTTTGACTTGATGCTGCTGCCGGCTCCACACCCCGCCCCCGCCCCAGTTACCGAGCCTGCATAGCTGGGCTCCACAGGCACTATCAACGAGACAGCCACATCCAATTTACAGTTCATCATCCGAGCAGTGCGCAGCATGCCTCGCGCAGGCCTTGTCGAACCGGCAGCTCCGTACGTAAATTTTGACAGTGCGGCTAATTGAGCCGCAAACAGTTTTGACATTTGCGACCGCGCGCGCCGCATTTAATTTATTTTAATTTGAAACGGTCACGCGGTGCGCGTTAGCCCGGCCTA